TTTTGCATCTTGAGATCTTCATTGAACTTCCAAATTGCACACACAAGTTGGATGGCCTCAGTATAACTGGTCGTAATTGAGAGTTAATTGTTAAACAAGCTCCGCTCTTCGGTTCAGTGTGGGTCACTTGTATGACCGCAAATCGAATTGGGCTCAGTCCTGTTACCGCTGTTCGTTACAAAACGCTAGAACGTTTCACAATACTACCTGCTACCTACAACAGCTACCTGTTTCACAATATTTCCCTGTGTATCCCTTGGCACATACGCACACATAGCTGTTCTTCTCGTAATGTGCAGCACAAGTTCCATTGTTCTGACAGGGCCAACTAATGCATGGAGACTGAAAAGGAAAAGAAAAGGATCTCCTCGTGCCGAGCAGTTATACCAAGGCGCTCTGTCGGCTCTGTTTTAAAAGTTTATTACTTTCCCTGATATTTAGTATTTGCATGGCTAGTGGCAATCAGGCAGTTTTTAGAGTCTCGTTTTAACAAGTTTAAGATTTTACACCTGACGGATAATTTTTGGCCAAGTCCTCCAATTAAACAGACAATCCACATGGGTAAGAAATTTACTCCTTTTTTAATATCCTTATTTTTGTTTTTAGGTGCTACACTCAAAGATTTTTAGTTTTGAGCTATAGCAATATCAGCTCTTCCGTTTGAAAAGGAAATCCGCCAAAAATGGGCTGTAAAAGCCTTCCGAAAGACTAAACTGTTGTGGTAATTCAAACCCAGCAATGTTCACACTTTCAATTCAGAAATGAAAGATGGTCGAACTTTCGAGAAATGACGTGACATTTAGTAGGATATCAACAAAGTTACCACCTGTCCCATTAGAACCCTTGGCTACGTAATTAAGCATGGCCTCCGCGACGATTTGAAAGTAATTAGAGTAGAAACGTCACTGAGCTAGAGGAGTAGAAGTTGAAAGAAGCTTTAAGTTAAAATAAACTGAACCCTCATATCTTAGGAAACTGCTGAACGTTTTAATTTTGAAAGTTACATTTTATTTACAGTAAATTCAAAATAAAGGAGCTCCGAGTTCTTTTAAGTGTTTTTTTTTCTTTTCAGGCTTAGTTTTTTCAGCAATTCAAACTAAGGCACGACTTTAAAAGGTGAAAAAAAGAAACAGATAGAAATTTTCAATGTTTTAAAGTTGAGTTTTCACTTACCGCGATGCTATAGTGATGATAAATATGGCTTGCGACGAATTTCTTGGAATTGTTGTAAATGTCGGATGGGAGCAACTCACATAAGATTTTTCCGTTGTTAATATCTGAGAATGTAGCCAGGTTAAAGGAGAAACATGACGGTATGTTGACGCAGGCAAGCCCACACTCACTGCCTTTGAGAACATAATCCGAACCAATGTTGGTGATGTTGAGGAAGGAGAATTTGTGAGCCTTAAATTTGGCGTAAGCCATTCCTCTATCTGTACCTCGGCTGAGAGTTTTACCACTAACATCAATGACTTGAATTATAGAGATGAAAAGAATTAGAACAGTGCAGTTATGACAACTCCAAGAAAAAAAAACGGACTGTGACTGAAGTGATGCCTTAAAGTTACAAAAGGAGAAAAACTTTACCATTAGAACCATTTGACGAACAGACAAGTATTACCAGTACAAGCAAATAGTTGCCTAGTTCATAAAATCGAAGTTCCATTTTCTGTTGCCGATGTGAACCAACTTCACAGTAGGACTGTAAATTGAGAACGATAAGTTTCAAGCAACGGTTTTACCCGAGTTCGTGGCAGTGGACTGCAATCTTATTATTCGCATGACGAACACCAAAAACTTTGGCTCTGATATTCGTGCAATTTTCTACACTAATTGTCATTATAATTTCAACCCGTGTGGTATTTTTAAGAAAACGACGTCATTTACTCCAATTCTTAACCAACACTTAGAACAAGGAAAATTAATGGCGGCCGTAAATTCTCGAAGATAAAGGTCCAAGAAACGTGAGTTCTAATGTTCGAAATGTAGATTGACCAGAGTAAACCAAAGCAGGAGCATCATTGCATGTAAATTTTAA